ATCTGCTGCTTGTTCCTTCTCCTCTGGAGACTTGCAGTCTGGACCCCCTCCTCAGGAATTTCTCCTCGTGGCTACTCCTGAAATTGTGCTTTTCTTCTTCATTAAGCAAACATGCCTTTAAAGCCTCAAAATTTAAGTCCTTCTCTTCTTTGCACTCAAATATAGCAGAAACTGTGTCCCACGTTTTATCTAAACTGTTTTATTTGCCTGGTTGCAAACAGGCCCTGTAAAGTTTTCTTGACAATTGCACTATATTGCATGCAGAAAAATTCACGTGCACAGCTCTCAATTTCAACCAAATCTCCTTTGCAGTCTTTAAATTTGCAACATTTAGAAATTGTTCATCATCTAAATTCAAGATGAGATAAGCCATTGCTCGATCATGACTTTTCTTATCAGCAGCTGCAAACACTTGTGGTGGATTTTCTACGATATACTACAGCTCTTTAGCTTTCAGCAAACATTCCATTTTTGCAGCCCACACAATGTAATTGTCAGGTTTCTGAGTAACGACACCTGGCCCAAACCAGGCACAGAGCTTTCCTTAAATTCCATTGCAGCCATTCTGCTAATTCTGCCTTGTTTTTATACTTTCTAAACACAGGAAATTTCTTCCAGCTTTAAATTACAACACAGTCCTTAGTAAGTTCTGGGCCCATAACCTGTTAGAGAATTTTAATTTCTCTATTGGTGAAAAAATAAATCAGAAGCTCTCACAGTTGACTGCATTTTAGCTGATTCAAATAACTTATTTATATTCATATCAAAATATTTACAATACCATACATTCTTCTTTACAGCAACATAGCACAATGAAGACTTCTTACAGAGAGATACAGAGACAGACCCGAGACTGAGACAAAATCCAGCTCCTAACTCAATACCTTTTCTGCACAGACTCAGTAGCATTTTTCTCACATTGGCTGACTGAGTTACCACATGACTCTTCCTGCTCATGAATATTCCAACAGATTAAGATGGAAAAATTGGTTTTTACTATCCTTCATAACTGTCACATTAATACTCATTTTATCTATAAATGAGTATAGTAAATCAGGGGTCCCCAATCTATGGTCAACGGCCCACTACTGGGCTGTGGCCTCTTGGCCAGTGGGCCGTGGAAATGGCTGGCCAGTGCACACATGCACGCGCACTCCCCTCACTCACGCTAGCACCCACGGCCCCGTTTGCATATGCGCACAGGCACAAACAGGAATGCTAGTGCCAGGCGGGTGTGCGTGGCCCATTTGTGCATGCGCAAACGGGGCTGCTAATGTCACGCCGGTGTGCATGGCCCCATTTGCATGTGCGCACGCACCAGTTTGGAACCTGGTCTCCTTCCCTCTGGGCTGTGAGTCTGGAAAGGTTGGAGACCTCTGTAGTAAATGGTATAGTGTCTATGAGCATGTATTAAAGTTTAATAAATGTTGCTGAGGTGTTGGGCAGCCTCTGAATGAAAATAATAATTGAATAATACCACCAATATTCATTTATCTCTTCATTCCTTTCCTTCCCCTACCCTTTTTTTTTACAGTCATTCCCAGAAAAGAATGCAGATGGTTACAAAAATATCTTTCTTTGCCATGTTTGTCATGTACTTTTTAACTGCTATTTTTGGCTACTTGACATTTTATGGTATGTATGTATTCAGTCTTTCCTAGCATGCATGATATTTTAGGTAACTTGTTCTTGACCTCATAATACTTTTTAAAGCAAGCAACTGAGGCCAATAATGATTAAACTATAATTCAAACATTATAGCCCTCAAAGATGAATTTTATAAAATGTGTGTTGCCATTTTTTTCCTTCTTTGTACAGAAAGTAGCATCCAGATTAGGAGGTGTATGCTTAATTTGAAAAGGACATTTTCTTATCTGGATATTCTACCCACTCTTTCTTGTATCCAAATTTGGGACCCATGACTCCCAATGAAGTGAAATTTGGGAAAGTTGTGGCTGTTTCAATATTGATGCTGCTGTGCTGCTGGACTGGATTGTGGTCACATGATCTTCATTTTCAATGTTCCATGGCAGTTTCTCAGCCAGTCTAGCAGTTCCCCCCCACACACACACACAATAACAGCCACTTATACTTAAGGGAAGGGGGAAGCCTTAGCCATTCAGTGTCACCTCAAATCGCAAGATGAATGGCATATAAATTTGAGAAATGAAATTTGATAAAGTTTAGTAAATTTGATTTTAATAAATGAAGGAAGGAAAGAAGAAAGGAAGGCAGGAAGGGAGAGAGGAACAGGATCTCTGTAAGCCCTTCCCAGTCCATGCCACTCCCTTTTGTGTTCCGCCAACCTGTGCCACGCCCAGTGGTGGGATTCAAATACCTGAACAACCAGTTCCGGAAGTCCATTCTGGGCCTGGGAGACTTCCCCTGCTCAGAACGGACTTCCAGAAGTGGCATCCATTCACTTCCAGTGGGCCGTTCTGGGCCTGGGAGGCCTCCCCCAGGCCTCCGAGCCTCAGAATAAACTTCCGGAAGTGGTGTCCACGCACTTCCAATGGGCCATTCTGGGCCTGGGAAGCCTCCCCCAGGCCTCCGAGGCTCAGAACAGACTTCCAGAAGTGGCATCCACACACTTTTGGTGGGTCATTCTGGGCCTGGGAGGCCTCTCCCAGGCCTCCGAGGCTCAACGGACTTCCGGAAGTGGCATCCACACACTTCCAGCAGTCCATTCTGGGCCTTGTGAAAAAGGGCTAGGGCTTCAGCCGGTTTCCTGAAGTCAACAAAAAATTAGCTACCGGTTCTGCTGAACCAGTATAAACTGGCTGAATCCCACCACTGGCCATGCCCCTGCACACCTTCCTTGACCCACGCTGCCCCCTTCATGTCTTTTCCTCTTGAGCACTCCCATGCATTCTTGGTGACCTACACCATCCCTTATGAGCATCTTGCCTGACCAGTGCAGCACCTCTCGTACAACCACACACCCTTCTCCAAACCATGCCCCTCCCATGCGCATTGCCCAATCCATGCAGCACCTCTTGGGCACCCCTATACACCCTTCCTGTAACCCCACTCACCATCTCTTGACCTGCATATCATACTCTACACACTCCCATCTGTACACCATCCCTGGATGGTATCTCTAGTAAACACCAACATCCTCTTCCCAACCCACACAGTATCTCACACACACACCTCCATGTACCATTTCTGACGTCATTCTCATTCTCACACCCAACCAATGGCAGTCACATACTTGTCTGCTGGCCTTGGACTTGGAACTTCCTATTGGCTTCCCCACTTCTCCAAGCAAAAGGAGGGAAGGAAGGAAGGAAGGAAGGAAGGAAGGAAGGAAGGAAGCTTCTGTTGCTCCCTGCTAGCTTTCCACAAGGAAACTCTATAGGGAAGCTGGCTCCCACTCCTTTTTTGCCCACCAACCCACCCATGGTCATTCTTTTTCTCTCTTTAGGTAAGGAAATATCTCTGAAACAATGACCCAATGGCCACAGGTTGTCTAGTTATTAGCATAAATTTCTAGCTCTGCAATACATATTTATTCATCTTAGCATTTGTTTCAGGGTTCTGAAAAGGAACATATAGAATATTATAATGCTAATCACCTAAACTTTGATTTAAATTTGAAATTTGGATCAGAAAATTAATTTGAATTAGAAAATCATGTAGATTCTCACTTCTGAATCAATTAAGAAAAAGCAAACAACCACATTCATTGAATATTGAATTACTGAGGCCAAGTCTCTGTTAGCAGATACAAATGGATCCCACACAGTTTGATGCGCTGAACCATTCTGACAATTCAATTTGAAAGGGTGATTCACCAGCCTCATTTCAAAAGATTAAATCATGTTGTTTGAGATGTTTCTTACTAAATGGCAGCTTGTATTAATTATCTGACTGCTAGAACAGCTCTATCATTGTTTTCCCTGCAGAATCTGTACAGTCAGATTTGCTTCACAAATACCAGAATAAGGATGACATCCTTGTCTTAACTGTTCGTGTTGCCGTCATTGTTGCAGTCATACTCACAGTCCCCGTGTTGTTTTTCACTGTAAGTTGGAATTTTCTGTCCATTTGTTAATAGATTGGCAGTTCCTAATACAAGAACTGAATTTTTGCTTCCTTATTTAGTTTTTGTTTTGGCAAGAATAGGTCACAAGTTAACATCTATCCCCAGCCTTCTAAATTCCAAATATTTGCAATGCTGAAAATATTTTTTTTCTAAAAATAAATATGATTAAGAACTTGCTATTTCTATTTTCAGTAAACCAATTGACATTTAATTATCAATTGTCTAATAAATAATATACCTATAAATAAATAATATACCTATAAAATAATATACCTATCAAGCTGCAAAAACAATTCAGGCACTGAGCCATCTTTAATACTTAAATCATCTTTCCCATATGAACAAAGGAGCTATAGCTCAACTCAATTTTCCTTTCTTTTTCTTTTCAAGTCCCTATTACCTAATTGTCTATTTTCCCATTTACTCCATGGAGTTCTATTTATGGGCTGTTTTGGTTCATGAATATGATTTGATACGCAGCTGACTCATTCTGCATTACAGTTGTTTGCACCTTTCATTTTCCTCCCTCCCCTCCTTGTTCTCTGATAGATAGATACTCTGAAGGCTAGAATGCTTAAAGTGATTTGGAATGTTGAAGTGTCTTTACTCTGACATAAGTAATTGCTGGTGCTCCTTGTCAATGCTTAAATATTAAAACAGGAACGTTGATGACAGCTAGTGATGTTGTTTAGCCTTCCACAAATCCAGACTGTATTAGGGCATAAATCCCATCATCCCCGGACATTGCTCATTGATGAGCATTATAAAATTAATGGAAATTATAGTAGTTTTCAGTATGGCTGATTTAGAAAAGCTGATATAATGCAGAAGATCAAACTAGCATTCTATGCATTTATTTTAAACATTAAAATTGGGAAGTATAGGTAGTCCTCGACTTAGGACAATTTGTTTAGTGACCATTCAAAGTACAACAGCACTGAAAAAAGTGACTTATGAGCATTTTTCATACTTACAACAATTGCAGCATCCCCATGATCAGGTAATCAAAACTCGAATGCTTGGGAACTGGTTCATATTTATGACGGTTGCATTGTCTCCAGATCATGCGATCATCTTTTGCAAACTTCTTACAAGCAAAGTCAATGGGGAAGCCAGATTCACTTAACAACTATGTTATTAACTTAACAACTGCAGTGATTCCCTTAACAACTGTGGCAAGAAAGGTCGTAAAATGGTGCAAAACTCACTTAACAAATGTCTCTCTTAATGACATAAATTTTGGGCTCAATTGTGGTTGTACGTCAAGGACTACCTGTATCACTTCCAATTTTAAAAAAATCATGAAGATGTTTATAATCAAAGCAATTCATAAAGCATATATGAAAGAATTTTATAAAATACAGAATGATATGAAAAGTAAATATTAAAACAACAACAAGAACGCAAGCAACAATAAAAAGTTTAAAATCATTGTTACAGCAGATAAAAACAACAGTAGCCTTACTTTGCTGGGGAAGGCATTTCAAATTTGGGGAGTCAACCAATGTAAAGGCTTGTTCCTGGGTAACTTTCTGTCATACCTCAGCATAAGAAGTCATCCCAAGCAGGTCTTTGAGGCTGGCCATGGCACAAATAGGAACATTCAAAAAAAGATTCCTTCAGGTTCCACAAATGGAAGAGTTTTATAGATTAGAAGTACCCCTTGAGTTGGAACTAGAAACAAACTGGGATTCAGGAAAGTTAAGAGCTAATCTGATGTGTTTATATCACCCAAGCACTCTTACTGCAGTATTTTATAGAAGACTATATGGGATTCCCCAGGTAGTCGAGTCAAGCCTCTTCTGAATTCCTGAACAATCAGAACTCAAAGGCAATCATACCCTCTTATAATATGGGTTCAAATATTTATCAAAAAGTGGAAAGTAAAATATTATATACTATAAAAATAAGAAGTGTTCACTGTTCCCCTCCTTTCTTTAATAATTTCACATGAAAATTCTGCTTCGTATGAGAGATTAAATATTTTAAACCTGGCAAAAAGCAAATTTCAAGCAAAATTTTAATGTTTTATTAGAACAAGTTGTGATAGCATAAAAAGCTCTAGCTGAAATAAATAGCAATTGGATTGAAAATGCTGATACTCACAAATATAACAATATATTAATTCCTCTAAGTGAACACAGAGTATAATACTGAAGGAGAGTTAATAAAAGGATGTCTGTCCCATGAAACACTTTGCCTAACAGATTTCTTTTTTTTCTTCCATAGGTTCGTTCATCTATATTTGAGCTTGCTAGAAAAACCAAATTTCATTTATGCCAACACATTGTAGTTACATTGATCCTTTTGATGATCATTAACCTGTTGGTTATTTTTATACCTTCCATGAAGGATATTTTTGGAGTTGTAGGTACAGTATGCTAAATATATTTAAGATTTCCTCCCTTTGTTAGGCTTAGACTTGTACATTGTTTATTATAATACCAAAATGTTTCTGATTGTCATAGGAACAACATCTGCCAATATGTTAATTTTTATTCTTCCATCTTCACTCTATTTGAAAATCACCCATCAAGATGCTTCAAAACTGATTCAGAGAATTTGGGTAAGTTAGCATGATTTGTTATCCTTCATTAAACATTAAAAGCTGTACTGTGAAAGTGTAACAAAGGTAAAACATACTTTTTCACTAGAGTGAACAATCCTGGATCCTGCCAGTACACAAACGGCTAAATAAGCCACATTCATGTCAGAAGGCAACAAAGATAAATATTTGTTTGCAAATGGCTGTACCTGAGTATCTCAAAATGATCTGCAGTAAATTGCTTGCACTGCTTATGAATAAGAATGAAGATTTAAAGAAGAGAACCTAATTATACAGAGTTCTTAATCACAGATGGTGCTTTCAAACTTAAAACAGGTTTCTCATTTGATAGCCTTTGCCCAATACAAGGCAACAGAAACCAAGGATATTGGGAATGCAGGAACAAAATTCAGAGATGCCCAACAGGGCCAAGATTACATATTCTGAAATAAATTCAAAGTCATTTCCAAAATAGTTGAACTATCTATTTTAAAAACAAAATACTTGTTTTAAACTCAAAACAGGACTACATTTAGAATGCAAGATAAAGCAAATTAGAAACATTTTGCACATCGCTGAATTAAATTGTGAGATATATTTATCCATGAATTGTTGACATAATTAGAGATGAATTGATTGTATGTTGGCTTTCCTGCCTTTCCCATGAACATATTTTTTCTTAGATTTAAAGCCCATTCTCAATTGGCTAATCATTATAGTGTGCAGCTTTTCCCAAATTGAGGACCACACTTTCCCTTTGAATCCCATGCCTAGGAATGTATTTCTAAATAGTTTACTTTTAAATAAAGTAAGAATAATTAATAGGATATTGCTCATGCATTTGAAAAATTTTGCCTTCTTCCAATGCAAAATTTGTGGTAGCAACTTTTAAATATCTTTAAGAACTATACTCTGGGTCTCAGGTTGGAGCCTACTGTTGCATGTAAATCAATGTAAATAATATCTCGTTTTGGTTCTAGGCTTCCCTCTTTTTGGCATTAGGGATTTTATTTTCCATGGTAAGCATTCCTCTTGTCATCTATGATTGGGTGCATTCAAGACAATGCCACTGAAGGTCAGTGAGATACCAAGAAGAATACATTATCTCCTTGCTGTTCACAAAAATGACCAGTCATCCATTTTGCCAGTATGTCCTACTCATCAGAAATGTCCTCTATTAAACAAACAAGAATTAATCATCACTGCATATTTTTCCACAGGAGACAGTTGTTAATTTATAAATTTTGCGTCAGTATTATTACAGTGGTCAGAACAATTTCACAAATCGCATTGGTCATAGGTCTTATGTATGGAGTAAATGGTAATGAAATAGCTGAAGAATATCTTCTACTACTTCATATATTGCACATGAATATTTCTTCTGATTTTCAGCTAAAATCCATTATCCTGATTCAAAGTAGATCTCCTCATTCCTGAAAATAATTTTGTATCCCCCTGATTATACTGGTGCAGTAATGTGGTTAATGATTAGATAGATAACTAGTATTTGGTCACATATGGACTCTATGGAGTCTTTTGGTATTAGTAGACAAAGACTAATTATTTAAGCTCAGTTATCCTTGTGGGAGATATTTATGCATGTGTACCCATTTTCAAAGTAGTCTCCCAGGAAATTGCACCTTGTCTCCCTGTCCCGAGACAATATTATTTGAATTAAAATATACTAAAATAAAAAGAAACAGATCCAGAGGTAAGGTGTGTGAAATATAAAATTTCTTCGTGCCAGGATTACGTTATTCTCAATATATATATTATACTTTGTTTTGCTGTAGTCATGATCTTCTGGTTAGGAGAATTTAAAACTCTCTTTTGCTGTTACAAGAACAGTAACAACAAAAAAGCTGTTGCCAATGAAAATACATACTGGTCCATCAAAAAGTCTATCTTAGTATCATATAGTAAAATAGATACTGATAATTGTCTTGCCAAAATCATATAATTAATAAAAAGGAGAGACTTTTTCTTCAGCAATACAGTAGAGATTTCTTCTAGCATCAATGAAGAGAACATTACAATTGGCACCTGGCATAATAATAGACATCTTTATTGGTTGGTAAATAGATTTTACTGGCAGTATGCAGCTTAAGAATGCAATTGAGAATGCCATCTATTGACCTCTGGTACAGAGGTTGTCCATAGTTCAAGAGTCTGCAGTTCATGAAAAGAAAGAATACAGGACATGTTGGCATTTATAAAGATAACTTGGTGGGTTCTCTGGGTTGCATCCAGAATTTTTTCAGAGCTTGCTATCAAGTACAAAGAAGCTTATAATCCTTTTTATTATGATATTTGTCCTTTCATTATGAGTATTTTTAGACCATCTTGTGTATAGCTGGTTCAGGCTCTAGAATAGTGATGGGCCTGATACTCTTTTTGTGGTTTTTTGTTGCTTTTAAGAATGTATTCAGAGTTTCTTACTGCTTATGATTTTTACAAAGCACTTTTCTTCACAATCACATTGTGAAGTAAGTCAGTAATAGGTTTATTTTGCATAGACAATGCTGGGGCCAAAAAGATAATGAAATGAGATTTCCTACACTGGCATTAGGCCAATTTGAAGGATAATACAAAAAAGCAAGCTGTTTTTCAGGGTTTGTACTACATATGACTTTTTTCTTAAAATTGAACAAAATTTTCTAACATAAAATATCCTAGTGATTATCATAAACTCTTTGGGAATTTACTGTAATGTTCTGATTTGCTGGAAGGCAAATTACCCACCATTTGCAATGAAGAGCAATAGTTCACAACATGTTACAGCAGAGTTTCCCATCTAGATCATGGTGTGAGAATGACAAACTGTTGTGCAAATTAAATATTAACTAGCTTAGGGACAGCTAATTTCTTCAATATTATAATATGCAGTTCCAGAAGAAGAATGTATTATCAATGCTGACTGGCTCAAGGTTGACTCAACCTTCCATCCTCTGAGGTCAGTAAAATGAGGACCCAGTCTGTTTGGGGCTATATGCTGACTCTGTAAACCACTTAGAGAGGGTTGTAAAAGCACTATGAAGCAGCGTATAAGTCTAAGTGCTATTGCTATTTCCAACTCAAAAGAGTGCTGGGAAGAAATAAGGGAATGGGTGGGAAAATCAATCCATTTATCTTTTATCCTTTACATTGTGATGATTACTCCCTGAAACATGAATAAAGCAGAGATATATTTGGTATAGGAAGGTGTAGCTGAAAAAGAAAGATCTAGTTAAAAGGGTTGAATCAGGCAAAAAATAAAACCCTAGGAAATTCCCTCCAGGCATCCTATCTCAGCATACTGACATCTGCTCCATTCTCAGCTCTCCTGATGACATGCCCAGAGCGGAATATGCATAGCCCACCCTCTCCACACAACACACAGATGCCACAGGAAGTGCACACACAGAGACCCAATACATTAAATAAAAATGCTTTCTATGGCCTCTGCTGATAAAAGAGGTGAAAAAACTTTTTGGAAGCCACGCTTGATTTCTATATTTTTTTATTATAATACATTCTATGGAACATGGGTGTATGTGGGATCCTGCTGCTTTTGCTAAAATGATGAAAGCTGTGTTGAGCCCATTTTGGATGTGTGTGACACATGTAAGAAAGGAGCAGCACTTATGGTGCAGGTTGTCTTCGACTTGCAACCATTCATTTACTGGCCATTCAGTGGCACTGAAAAAAGTAGCTTATGACTAGTTTTCACACTTATGACTGTTGCAGCATCCCTATGGTGATAAAAGTTTGTATCATAGTTGCACTGTCCTAGGGTCATGTGATTATCATTTATAACTTTCCTAGACAACTTCCAACAAACGAAATCAATGGAGGAAGCCAGATTTGCTTAACAACCATGATTCACTTAACTGCAGTGATTTACTTAACAACTGTGGCAAAGAAGGTCATAAAATGGGGCACAACTTACTTAACAACTGCCTTGCTTAGCAACATAAATGTTGGGCTCAACTGTGGTCGTAAGTTGAGGATTACCTGTATAAGTCTCTTCATTAGACTACTTTGACATCTCTTGCCCCATGGATGTCCTTACATAAAGAAATTTAAAAGAAGAGAGAATTCCAACTCTTTCCTTGTCCTGCCTTTGCGTTATAAAAAAAAAGAGCTATTTTTTCATTGCTTTACAATTAGAAGGCATTTAAAATGCTTCTTGGAGGAATTTTTGGTTGTTATAAGTATATAGACAACTGTTTCCAAATTCCATACCCAGAAAGGATATAGAATTAATTCATTCATTCCATCCCAACCATGCCAATCTAATTACTACAAAAATACAGCTCTTTTCAGTGCATTCTCTTGGCTTTCCCACAGAAAAGAAATGGTGAACTACTAAGACTTTGGGCTTGACTACCCAGCAAAGATCTTAAATTCTAAAATTATAAAGGGTTTTTTTCCTAAGTATTAGCCAGTGGTTCTCAACCTCAAGAACTTTTAGAAGTCTAGACTTCAATTTCTACAATTCTCCAGCCAACATACTGGAGAGTTGTGGGACTTGGCATCCATACATCTTGAAGTTCCTGACATTGAGGAATAAGCTATTCCACTGTGGCTGTGCTTTTGGAGTGCTATAACACTGGAGTGTTTAATAAGCACAACACCTTGCTGTAATTTTCTCAGCAGGGCAGAAATAAGGGAGAGGAACTCTTTGAGTTTTTCCATATATTCCTACTCATGTTTGTTTTGAATAACAGGATTTCCCTGTTGTTTCTGTATATGAGCTTCAGAGTTGGCATACATTCTATGCTATGGATCATGGGTTCCTGTGTTTCCATACCTTTCCTCCAAGATGTTCTCCCAGCCATAGAAGCTCACTGGGCATTGATTAATCTGCCTGGTTTCCAATTTCTGGTGCCTCCTTCCAGAGACTACAAAATTGCATCCTAACTGAGCAATTTTTGTAAAGAGAATATTTCCCCCTCACCATTTCCATATTACAGTTCTGGAAGAATCACTTTTACAGATTATAATAGTTGGTCCAGGGTATGCAGAGGATATTAAGAGTGGATAGCGAAATATATAACCCATTCCCTTAGGTATGATATTGAACTATTTATGGGAACACCAAATACTGTCTGTATTAATTGAAGACACATTTCTTGCATATTTCTTTTCTTAGTACTAGTTCTGTCATTTTTTTCAAATACAGTTTATGCCATTACAATAGTTTGTATTAACTTAAATTGCTTTTAAAATGTCTCTTGATCAGGCAGTCTTTCCTTATTCAGAAACAAACATTGCTGAGGATTCTACTTCGCATCTGGACAATGTTTTCCTGTGTCTTTCTTTTTAACTGAATGTATCCATTGTTCCTCAATTTAAGACCTTCAGTTATCAAAATGTGAAGATAAAAAATAAATGTTGCTAAATATTGAAGGCTGATAGGACCTTGGCACTCACATACGTGCATATCCCTGAATCTGTTTCTCTTTTATTTAACAACCGCAGCAACAACAAGAACCAAAATCTATGCAGTTATGTTGTAGGAAATGTTTAATTTGTGTATGTGTGTATATATATTGTAAATAAATAGGATGCTTCTATTTTTGCAGTTGTGTACTCTATGAGATGAAAGTGTTGAAGTAGATAAATAACAAGAACAATGTGTCTATAACCAATTCTGAAAAGGAGCAGCAATGGCCTAGCTTTTCACCAAGATACATTTTCTATCTCCTGCTCCCACTTTTATCCTGTTCAGTTCTATCTGGTCACAGATTTGAAGCTTACAAATTACATTGCATACAGTAGCACATTTCTAAGAGCACAAGCAACGGGCTGCCATGATTTATTCCTGTGAGATACTTTTTCTATCATCCAGAAGTAGAATGGAATCCTTTGGTAGTGCCGCTTCATGTTCCTTGCTAACCTTTCCCCATCTGATGTCCTCTGCTCTGTGTCAGACCCACGGATCTTTGAATTCCCAGCCAGAAAGGCCGAAAGCATCATATTGTAGAAAGGCTGACTGGCTATAATAAAACTGGGTGTAGCATCAAAAATATTATTGTACTTAAGACCAAAGAAGTAAGCACCATGTTAAAGAGCATTGACAGGTCATTTGAACATAGTTTTGTTTGATCTGTTTTGGGAAATCATAAGTAGAACGCTATATCCTCAGAACAAAAAATAGTCTTTCTTGCTCAATTGGTTGCTTTTTTAGATATATATTGTTTATATATATTGTAACATTTTAAAATCTGTGGAATCTTCTGTTCAATGTTTTAATGATGCTCCGCTGAAATTTATATATGTTTCCAAATCTTATTTTATGAGTATAAATGTGTAGGACTCGATAGAACATTACTGTTAAAAAAGAGCACACATTTTTTGCAGGTTAAAAAAACTGTCACATTTTAAAATAGTCCATTATTAATTGTCTTGGGTGCTGCAGTTAACCAAACAAAATCCATTTAAAAGTATTTTTCTTCCATCAGAACTAATTGTATACTGTTAACACTAAATCAGACTTCTGAATTTCTAGACTATGATTTAAGAGTAAGAACCACCAGTAGTGTTTTGTTTTTGTTTGGAGAGGGGGTTTTTTGGGTTTCCTTTGCTCTGGCTTACATTACAACTTTCTCTGTATTGTTCATATTTAATGATATATGTAAATAAAGTTGAGTGTAAATAAAACATATCTGTTATTTATTTTTTAAAGTATGATTGGAAACAAGTCTGATATGTTGATTCTTTAAAAAAAGAAAAGGAAACCTTAAGATGTGTTTGTGTGGTGGCCCAAGCAAAACACTAAAACGCTTGAATTTAGAAAATTCAGAGACAGAAGAACAGAAGTCCTTTTCAGGTCTAGGCACCTTTTAGGCAAGAAAAAGGAATTCTGGAAAACAATACAAAGAAAAAACTAATTGATAGTTTTTGTTCCATTCTCTCCCAGTATTGTTTGTGCCTTTAAATGGAGAACCTTTTTCTGAATTCTTGCACCGAGCATTGAATTGGACTGATAATACACCAAAACACTTAAAGTTTACAGTTCACTTCCTTTCCTGCAAAGAAGTTATAATAGCAGTATCTATTATTCCTCACTCCAGCTCCTGCCATCCTAGCAGTTTGAAAGCATGCAAATGTGAATAGATAAAGAGGTACCACTTTGGTGAGAGGGTACCAACGCTCTGTGACATCATGCTGACCACATGACTGTGGAAATGTCTTCAGACAGCGCTGGTTCAATGGCCTTGAAATGGAGAGAGCATTGCCCCCAATAGTCCAGTGGAGTAAAATCTGCAGGTATTCCTTTATCTGTTATACTAGAATGGTACATACTGTCTACCTTACTTTAAGCTCTCAAACCAAAGTGTATAGGATTGTACATGGCTAATAATACACAGGTCATGACATAATGCAACGTCCCTTCTCTGCTCTCAGAGCTTAAGAGACGGTGGACTGAATATACTATTCTGATAGAGTTAATATATATCTGCAACATTTGAGTGCCAGGACCCAGCCAACTCTTAAAACTAAAGCACTGTATAGAGTCATCTAAGGTGAAGATCCTTGTATTCAATTCTTGGTAAAGAATTTGGACCCCAAAGAATAACATCTTGCTATCCAAGCCTGACAAATCCCAAATAGGATGAAACTGCTGACATAGTGGTTTCTGGTGGTCAACATATCTATTCTATGCTATATTTCAAAATAAATAATCTTGTTTTCAGACCAATCTCTTTTGTTGTTGGTTTAACTAGATGGGACCACACAGCATGCTACCAAATCTAATTGCTGGTAATATTTCTCAACTGCTATTACTATCCAAATACTGAAAAGAGATCTGTGACTTAATTGAGTAATTCTACTGGAAATGCTAGCTTGGTCTTCTCACAACTGATAAGCTTCAAATGCCTTAGACATAAAAACCCCTCCTCTCTCCCCCAACCCATATTAATGCTCGTATTGAATGTTGGACCATGTGGCCCATGTCATCCGGAGTGCAAAATTTAGGAGGCTGTTTTAGCTAATGGCACCATGGAATCTTCAATTCTTCTTCTGTTTGCCAAACAATTTCTATGTATGTGACATATTATTTCAACAGCACAGTGAATTAACCATGATATTAATGCTGGCAGTGTGTCAGATGTATTTATCCCATGGATTATTAACTGTGCTTTTTTAAAGAGGAAAATGGGGAAGGCAGCAGCTGCTGTTTAGCTATAGTAGCTTGAATACGGCATGTTCCCTACTGGAGACAAGCTCTGTCCTTGTCCTTATTCATATCACTGGACAAATTCTACAGGCGTCATTGCCTATGTCAGTCTATATTCTTTGATTTCCTTGAATAAACCATAGCCCAAACAATAGGGAATGTCTACTTCTCTAAAAGAACAAGCTTTTATTTTGCCAAAAAGAAGTATGTCAAATATTTTTAATACTTGTTCCTCAATCTCCTTTAAAATAAGGAGACTAGAACAGATGACATATTTTATTCTATAGGTGTAGATAAAATTTTATTATATAATATTAAAGAACCTAAGCCAGAAAATTCAGGCATGTCAGTATAAAAATAATAAATGTGGAAAATAAATAAATAAATAATCTAAGAACTATTTTCATGAATACTGGCTTTGTACAGAGGAAAGGTACTACGTTGCTTATTTATTTATTTATTTATATTTCAACTTATATGCCGCCCTTCTCCCCATGGGACTCAGGGCGGCTCACAGCATATTAAAACAATATAAAACATTTCCCCTCTAAAAGCCAATTAAAAACCAAATATTTGTCGCTGTGTCTTGATAAAATCCTTAAAATTGTCCCTATTTAAAATTCACCCTAGGTCAGACCCGCTTG